TGCGGTGACCAGAAGCGGCCACTGCACTCCAGTCTGGGCGGCAGAGTGAGACTCCAACTCAAAAAAAAAAAAAGAAAAGAAAACCACCGGCAAAGCAGAATAGTTTGCTTTATTTTTTGTGACGTTCTTCAAAAGCTCCCAGTCGGAATGAGGGGCTGAAGCAGCTTTAAATTGTGGACTGACACCTGGGTTTGTCTTAGTTCAGGCCAGGTTGTCTTTAAAAACTACATGGAGGCCGGGTTTGGTGGCTCAGCCTATAATCCCAGCACTTTGGGAGGCTGAGGCGAGTGGATTGCCTGAGCCCGAGGGTTCGAGACCAGCCTGAGCAACCTGACAAGACCTCATCTCTACAATAAGTAAAAAAAATTAGCTGGGCATGGTAGCACGTGCCTGTAGTTCTAGCTACTTGGAAGGCTGAGGCGGAAGGATCGCTGGAGCCCAGCAGGTCAATGCTGGGGTGGCTGTGAGTGTGCCACTGCACTCCAATCTGGGTGACAGAATGAAACTCCAACTCAAAAGAAAAAAAACAAAAAACAACTATGTGGGGCCAGTGCAATGGTTCACATCTGTAATCCCAACACTTTGGGAGGCTGATGCGGAAAGATTGCTTGAGCCCAGGAGTTTGATACCAGCCTAGGCAACATAGAAAGACCTCCTCTCTACAAAAATTACAATAAAAATTAAAACTACATGGCTGGCAGGCACGGTAGCTCACACCTGTAATCGCAGTACGTGGGGAGGCCAAGGCAGGAAGATCACTTGAGGTCAGGGGTTCAAGACCAGCCTGGACAAATTCAAGACCCTGTTTCTGACCAGGCACAGTGGCTCATGCCTGTTATCTCAGTACTTTGAGAGGCTGAGCCAGGGTGATTGCTTGAGCTCAAGAGTCTGAGACCACTCTGAGCAACATGGCAAGACTTGGTCTCTACAGAAAATACAAAAATTAGCTGAGTATGGTGGTACACACCTGTAGTCCCAGCTACTTGGGAGGCTGAGATGGGAAGTTCGCGTGAGCCCAGGTGTTTCAGGCTGCGGTGAGCTGCAGTTGTGACTGCACTCTAGCCTGGGCAACAGTGTGACCCTGACCCCCCAAGATAAAAGACCCTGTCTCTACAAAACATAAAATCTACTTGGCTGTTTTGGATTGATATTGTCCCATTCTTAGTTATAGTCTTTTATCTAGGCAAGTAGAACTTAGACCCTTAAAGCCTTATGCCCTGAGATATCACATTCAGACAGCGTCACAGAAGATGCCTCTAGAATTACTAGCCCAACAGGATCTTTCAGTAGGATTCAGGCTCCTTCAGGATGAGGGTGATGCTGGCTGTCACCTACTCATCCCTCAGATGGATGGAATTTGAACTGATGTGAGAAGAATGGTCAGCCGGGCTCAGTGACTCAGCCTGTAATCCCGCGCCTTTGGGAGGCTGAGGTGAGTGGATTGCCTGAGCCCGCAGGTTCAAGACCCGCCTGGGCAACTTGGTGAGACCTCATCTCTACAATAAAATAAAAAAATTAGCCGGGTGTGGTAGCGCGCGCCTGTAGTTCAGCTACTTGGAAGGCTGAGGCAGAAGGATCGCCAGAGCCCAGCAGGTCGAGGCTGAGGTGGCTGGGAGCGGCCTCTGCACTCCAGTCTGGGCGACGGAGTGAGACTCCAACTCAAAAAAAAAAGAATGGTCATGAGTTGAGCTGCTTCCTCAAGGGCCAGGACCCTCTGCCTCCCCTGCCCCTCAGATGTTCAGCTTCAGCTTGGGGCGGCTCTTAGAAGGCGAATACAGTGATCTGTGTCTGGCTCCCCTCTGCAGAATCACACTCCTGACACAGTCTGCCATTTTGGGAGCGGGTGTAGCTAAAATATTGATACCTGATCCTGCCCACACCCAGACATCCAAAGCCCATGGTTGGAGTTTCTCTGTGCCTTGGCTGTTAGTCACAGCTCTTCCCATCTGCTGCTCTGCCACTGTCACAGTCAAGCTGTTGTCAGGAAGAGTCTTCCTGTCCTCATCCTACACTGGTTGTTCATCTGTTGACTTTTGTTCCTTCCATCAGGTTATACCTGGGCTGCCTTGCTTTTTCCTGAAACTGACTCACCGTGTTCATGATGCTTCTTTCTGACAACCTTGTTTTCAAAATGACCATTCAGTGAAGAATTAATTTTTGCTCTACAGATAGCATTTGAGATCAGGCTTTCTTGATTTTCTCAAAAAGCAGATTAGTAGACAAAACCATGTATTTAAACAATTAGCTTTTGTTGGGCAGTAAGATGCTTGCCTTTCTTTGTTAATATTGTGTGTAATTTATACTACACTATACTATTAGCAGATGATATATTAACAGTAATTCCTAATGACTAGCTTTACTTGAATGCCCATTGTTTTCCAGGCATACTTTTTTGTTTTTTGAGTAGGTGTCTCACTCTGTTGCTCAGGCTGGAGTACAGTGGTATGCTCATGGCCACCTCAGCCTCAACCTGCTGGACTCAGGTGATCCTTCCGCCTCAGTCTTGCAAGTAGCTGGAACTACAGGCACATGCCACCATGCCTAGCGAATTTTTTGATTTATTGTACAGATGAGGTTTCGCCAAGTTTCCCAGGCTCGTCTCGAACCATGGGCTCAGGCAATCCTCTCACCTCAGCCTCCCAAAGTGTTGGGATTATAGGCATGAACCACTGCACCTAGGCTTTTTTTTTTTTTTTTTGTAAAGCCCTTTTTTTTTTTTTTTGAGTTGGAGTTTCCCTCTGTTGTCCAGGATGGAGTGCAGTGGCATGCTCATGGCTACCACAACCTCGACCTGCTGGACTTAGGCAATCCTTCCACCTCAGCCTTCCATGTAGCTGGAACTACAGGCGTGCACTAACATGCCCGGCTTATTTTTCGATTTATCATAGAGACGAGGTCTCACCAAGTTCCCAGGCTGGTTTTGAACCCCTGAGCTCAGACAGTCCTCTTGCCTCAGCCTCCCAAAGTGCTGGGAGTACTGGCTTGAGCCACTGCGCCTGGCCTTCAAGCATACTTTTATAAGCATTTTGTATTTAATTTTCATGTAATCCTCACAGTAACCCTGTGAGGTAGGGGCTGTGGTATCCTTATTTTTCAGAAGTGAAAACAGGCACAGAGTTTTTACATGACTTGCCCATAGACAAGCTTGAACGTAGACAGCTTGACCACTCTGACCACCTGCAACTTGTTTGCCTTGTATAAAATGGAGCTAACAGCAGCCTACCTCAAAGAGGTGTGAGGGCAGATGAGGTGGTGTGACTGATCTTGGCACCGTGCCTGGCTTAGAGAGAGTGCTGCCGAGGTGTGAACTGCAGTTGCCTTCCCTGACTTGGATGTTCAGGGAATTTCTGGCCTGCTGGGTCATGCCCAGTCATGTTATCCCCATGGCACCTTTTATCACAACTCTCACAACACAGTGTGGTCCCGTCTCTGCTTGTCTGCCCTCTTGTATACTGTGGAAGCCTCAAGGGCAAGTACTCTCTTCATTTCTTTATTCCTGGTGCCAAGTATAGGACCAGCCCCATCACCCAAGCCTGATGGAAGTTCTGAAGCCAGAGAATAAATAGGTGTGATCATGTGGCAGGAGGGCAAGGTGTCCTGTTTGCTTATTTATTTCTTCTCATTACAGATGTCAAGACCAGGAAGTGGAACTTTCTCTTGGAAGAGCACAATGAACTAAGTGAGAAGCCCTCCTTGCTTGTTTATAGCATGTTATTGTTAAGTTTTAATAATCCACTTTAAATGTAATGTATTTTAAAAGACTCCTCCTCCCTCGCTGCAGTGGTACATTTGAGTACAGGGTAAGTGAAGGAGAAGATGTTCTCGGGCAGCCTCGTCTGCATCCACCGAGATGGTGGCTTTATGATAGCCCACACAACCGCAGGGCCTCTTCTAAGCTAGATTGCTTAGCTTAGGTGGAAGCTACCTTAGGTGACCTCTAAGAACAGGCTCTCAGTTTACTTCTGGAGCTAGAGGATCAAGAAGGTAGGAGAGTTTCATAAGAAGAGAAATCCCTGTATTTCAATAATTAGCTATTGTTGAGTAGTAAGATGCTCGCCTTTTTTAGTTAACACTGTGTGTCACTTCTGCTACACTATACTGTTAGCAGATGATGTAATAACAGTAATTCATAATGACTAGCTTTAGTTGAGTGCCTGTTGTTTTCCACACATACTTTTAGAAGCGTTTTATATCTAACTTTCATGTAATCCTCACAGTAACCCTGTGAGGTACTGGGCTGAGTTCTGTCAGATGCAGAAGTTAGGCCAGGGATCTTAAGCATTTGAACAAGCACTTTAGAGACTGACCAAGGGAAGGGGCTATGTGTGCAGATACCACAACTGCAAGAAGCAGCAGCCACCTTGGGCTCCCCTCTTTTCTTCTGTGTGCTCTGCTTAGATGGGGCAGTATGTTTAATATGCCTGGGAAGGGGAGACATGGTCCTGTCTCCGACAGCATTCCTCATCCATCTGTAATGATCCTGTGGTGGGTATGCAGCTACACAGCTGTGTTCCTCCTGGTGACCTCCGAGGACTTGTTGCTACCTGTCAGGCCAGGAGAGACCTGATCCGACCCTGGAAACTCTGGGTCATGACCATCTTACCTGTCAGGCCAGGGCTTTAGCAAAGAGGGAAAAGCTGGATCGTTCCCTTAGTCTCCTTCTTATGTGACCTGTGTGACATTGGGTAGATAATTCAACATTTTGGGTCCCACTTGTCTCTTTAGTTTAAAAAAATGGGAGTCTTTAATCCTTATTTGCTCTACTGACATAGGAATTAAACATAAAGGAAGAGTTTTTGATTCCTTGAGCAAAGACTTGTAGTGAACTACAAGATTAGATTTTAATATGATACTCAGTGTCAGTGCAGCTGGGCTGAAGCAGGAAGGATGGCTCACATTACTCTTGAGACTTTCTGGATGCTGCTATTGGGAACTTAGGATTCAGAGGGAATGGTGGGGCCACAGCTGAATTTTCGATGAGAAATAGGAGCGATTCTTTCCTTTTTGCCTCTGCGGCTCTCAACTAAGAAACAAGTAGCTATGTTCACTATAAAGGCTTGGCTTGTTGTAGAACAACAAAAAGCTGGATACTTACAGCATTGTCGGATAAATATAACGTGGAAAAACCATGGCTCATGACTCACATAGCATTATACGATGGGAAAACCCCCCAAAATGAAATTTATTTATTTAAAATTGTGTATTTATTCTCACATGCTTAAACTTCAGTCACTTCCAAGTGCTCTCTGTTTGATGCACCTATTGAAGTGCTTGTTCCACTGCTCAAAACGGTTTTAGAATTCACCCATTTCGATCCCCTTGAGTGCGTCTGCTGTTTTTTGTTTCACGTCTTTCACATCAGCAAAGTATTTTCCTTTGAGGACGTTTTCCATTGAAGAACACAAAACAGTCACTTGGGGCAAGACTGGGTGAACAGGGAGGGTGGGGCACACGGGTCATGCCGTTCTTCGTGAAAAACTGCCAAACACTCAGCATGGTGTGGGCGGGTGCACTAGTCAGTCACCCATCATGAAATGCACAAATGTATGGAAGAATCTCCAGAAAAAAAGTTGCTGAGGCTGACCACATCCTTTCACAACAACACTAGCTGGTACACTGATGCCAGTTGGCTCCTAGAACACTTACCTAGTGGGGAAAGCCTGTAGTATAGGGGACCCACCTTCCACAAGATGCCGTTTCCTTTGGGGTCCCCCTTGTGTAGTGGTTCCTAATTTTTTGTGAACCATAGACGTCTTAAAATCTCTCGTGAAAACAGTGAATTCTTCACCCAGAAAAATGTACATAGTGCCTGCCACATATGAAATTCAGCACTTGATACTAATGAGTCCATGGATCCTGAGTGAAGAATTCTAGATGTAGAGTATTTGCATGCTATCATAGTGTCTGTGGAAGATAAGACTGATACTTCTTATTTCATAGATTGGAAAGAGCTTGGGCCCATAGAAAGGAAATAATGGTTATTCTTATTGGGAGCATTGCAAAGGTCACAATAAATCCAGTGACCTAAATAAGACTAGAAATACCATCTGCACTTACAATCTGACCCATTATGAAATTTAGAAGCCATTTCTGTCTGGATGCAGTGGCTCACGCCTGTAATCCTAGCACTTTGGGAGGCCGAAGTGGAGGATCACTTGAGCCCAGTAGTTCAAGACCAACCTAGGCAACATAATGAGACCTCGTCTCTACAAAAAAATCACAAAATTAGCCGGGCATGGTGGTACCTTCCTGTAGTCCCAGTGACTCAAAGGCTGAGGCAGAAAGATCTCCTGAGCCCAGGAAGTCAAGGCTGCGGTAAGCTACAATCGTGCCACTGCATTCCAGCCTCGGCAACATAGTGAGACTCCAACTCAAAAAAAAAAAAGGAAAATGTAGAAGCCAGTTTCATAAACTAAGAAGGTGGGAGAGAATACAGCACAGTTCCCACCTTGGCTCTCATTTCATCATTAACATACTGTGAGCCTGTAACATGCTGAGAGGGGAATGCACACCTCTCTCCTCACCCTAAGGTCTTCTTCCTTATGAGAGAAATTCAGTGGTTGACCCCGAGCTACTGAGCGTGTGTGTATGACACTGAGTAAGAACTGAATGAGGCCTGAGTTTATGAGTGCTCCTCGGTAGAAAGTGAGAGTTACTTTCTCTAGTAAGGCAAATCTGACAGCTTCCCTCTTTGCTCTTTTCTAAGTGACTTGGAGCCTTTTGCCCGTAGTGAAATTGGCATAAGGCCCTTTGCTTTCCCTTGGCTGTCGCAGTCCAGAAGGATTCTCAACAGTCTTGTCTCTTCGGCTGCTATTTGAAAACAGTAGCTTCTTTCTGCTGTGTGGCTAGTAGCGTTCTGCCAAAGAGCTGTCTTGCAGAAATGACTTCTAGGTGACTCATGAAGCCAGACAGCCCATGCCTGTCATCTCCCAGGCCCAGGGAAGGGACCATAGAGGCAGTCCTTAACAGGGAGCGCTGGCTTTCTCAGAAACACCCACTTGGCTGAGCTAGCAGCATAGGATTTTGGAGACAGTAGTTTGTAGGAGACAGAGTACCTGTTGGTTTTATTCCTCTTAAATGACTGAAAGAACATAATGCTTACAAAGCACTTCCTTTCACACCAGCCAGATCGTTGGTTCTTTCTTAGCTTTCATCAGGTATTGGAATTCTAAAGATCACTAGGATTAAAATGAAAATGGTTTTTGGAAGCACATGGAGTGCTCAGTCTCCTGAAGTGTGCAGAAACCAGCATGATCAGATTTAATTTGGAGCTATAAAATGTATTTCCACATCAATATAGATAGCCTATTTTATATTAAAGCCGCCAACCTTGCCTAATTTCCTCTCGTGGTGATTCTGTTCATGGAAACAGTTTCCAGAAATAACTGGTACTTATATTTAGCGAAGGACAGAAATGGATTTAAATATATTGAAAATACAAAGCAATTGGAGGTAGCCTTAGATGACTCAGCCCTGCATGTTCATACCAGTCTTTGCAACGGTAACCAATTGATGGTTGTGGCAGAAGACTTTTGGAATATTTGTGACGATATTAAGAAAACATGACCTTGTGGAATAGAGAACCAATAACCTTAGTATTTCAGATAATACTGGGTAGAAATAAAATATGCCCAGTTTCTCTTTTTGGTTTCCTTTACTGGGTATCTGAGGATAATTAGCCTCTTAGTGGGTGACTGACTCTCAGGGTGCCCCTGAAGAGTAGAGGGCAAGCTGGGCGTGGTGGCTCACATCTGTAATCCCAGCACTTTGGGAGGCGGAGGCGGAGGCGAGAGGATTGCCTGATCCCACAGATCTGAGGCCAGCCTGGGCACCATGGCAAGACTTCATCTCTACAATAAATCAAAAAATGAGCCAGGCATGGTGGTACATGCCTGTGGTTCCAGCTGCTTGGAAGGCTGAGGCAAGAGGATCACCTGAGACAAGCAGGTCAAAGCTGTGGTGGCTGTGAGCGTGCCACTGCACTCCAGCCTGGGCGACAGTGAGACTCCAACTCAAAAAAGAAAAAGAAAGAAAAGAAAAGTAAAGTGAAGGGTAAAGAGTAATTGAAGAACTGTAAACAACGGTCACTTTTCTAACTAGGTTTTTCAAAGGAAAATGACAGAAGGGAAGGACATCTCAAAAGTGACAGCTCACAGGACCGCAGGCTTGATCAGTAGTTTATTGATAATTCTTCTGCCAGAGACCTCCAGGCCTGTCGCCTTTTTTGTAACTTTAAAATTGTTAACCTATAACATTTAAGTTAATTCTTAACATATAAGAATTATATGTTTTATCTCTCTGGTTTATTCTTTTTCTGTTTCTTTATTGAATACAGGACTTTTTTTTTCTCTTTTTAAAACTTAAAATTGGCTGGGCATGGTGGCTCATGCCTATAATCCCAGCATTTTGGGAGGTTCAGGACCAGCCTGGGCAACTTGCTTGGCGAGACCTTGTCTCTACAGTAAATCAAAAAAGTAGCTGGGCGTGGTGGCATATGCCTGTAGTTCCAGCTACTTGGAAGGCTGAGGTAGAAGGATGGCCCGAGCCCAGCAGGTTGAGGCAGCAGTGGCCGTGAGCGTGCCACTGCTCTCTAACCTGGGCAACAGATGAGACTCCAACTCAAAAACAAACAAACAAACAAACAAAAAAACTTAAAATAAGTGAGACTAAGTTTTTTCAAAAAGCAAGATCAGTGCAGTTAATCTACTTTCCTCTCCATGAAGATACCAAATAGGTTATTCTTCCCACTTGGGTTAATAGCCCTGACTAAAGGGGATTTCTCCATTCATTATGTAAGCATCCAGGACCAGTGTACTTGGAAGGAAAGTGAAGGCCCCTAGATGTAAATTGAAAGAGTCTGAGTTATAGTCACTTTAAGTAATAGTGTGGGCTTTAAGCTTAGCAGGGGTTTGGAAGCTTCTTCTCTTTTATTGACATAATATTTTACATATTTATGGGGTACACATGTTCATTACATGCATAGAATGATAACGATCTGGTTGGAGTATATGGGGTATCCATCACCTGAGTGTTTATCATTTGGTAAACTTAAGGGCCAGATGGCAAATATGTCAGGCTTTGAGGGCCATGCCGTCTCTGTCCCAGCTGCTCAGCTCTGCTGTTGTCATGTGAAAGCAGTCACAGACAAAACATAAATGGATGGCCTGGCTGTCCCAGTAAAACTTTGTTTAAAAAAAACACAAGCAGTGGCTCAATCTGGCCCACAGGCCTTAGCTTGCTGAGCTCTGCTTTGGAGAACAGGTAAGGCGCCCTCAAGTCAACTGCAGACTAAAGGATGTTTAGCAGCTTCACCACAGAAATCACTGCTGCAAAATTCACCTCTCAAAGGGAGATCGTTACGGAAAAGGTCAAAAAATGTACGTTTTTATCATTCTCTGGCCTTTGCATGGACTCTGCCTTTTGTTGTTATTATTTTTAATTAGCACTACTATCCTTTGCTAGAAACACCTAGCAACTTCTCTGTACAGAGCACAGTGCTTCCTTACTCATGGACAGATAATAGGGTTCTCTGTCCCCTCAGACGTCAAAATCATCAAAATAAAGCATCAGAAGACTGGAAACAAGACAAGATTTATTCTGTTTAAGATGTACTTTTCTATGGGTCTTTCTAGGTGATTTTTTTTAAGAACGTGGGTCATTATTTATTTGAATGGGAATACTGAGATACTTTAAAAAATTTCTTTAGGTTTAAAAAAAATCTGTCACGAGAACACTTTATAGTTTGTTCCAGTGTTTGTGTAGTATAGCAAATCAAGTTGGCATTATTGACTGCCTCTTATTTGCAGAAATTAAGGACTAGGCCGGGTGCAGTGGTTCATGCTTATAATCCTAGCACTTCGGGAGGCCGAGGTGAGAGGATTGCCTGAGCCCATGGGTTTGAGAGCAACCTGGGCAACTTGGCAAGACCTCATCTCTACAATAAAAAAATTAGCCAGGTGTGATGGTGTGTGCCTGAAGTTTCAGCTACTTGGAAGGCTGAGACAGAAGGATCACCTGAGCCCAGCAGGTTGAGGCTGTGGTGGCTATGAGCAGCGTGCCACTGCACTCCAGACTGGATGACAGAGTGAGACTCCAACTCAAAAAAAAAACAAAAAAAAACACTAGAGCGGGAAACTGGTCACTGGGTTCATGTAGCTCGCCCAGGATGCAACTGTCAATCTCTGATTTTCTCTCCAGTTAAACTTTTTGAGAAGATGGTATGTAGCAGAACTCCGGTTATTGAACTTCATGTTCTGCAGCCCCTTCTTTTTCCCCGGATCTTTTAGGCATGAACATTTCCAGCTCATACGCCTCTGTTCTTCTTTCCAGTTAAAAGGGTGCGCTGCCTCCCACAAGTTCAGCTGGATCCCCTGCCCACGACTCTCACCTTGGCTTTTGCTTCTCAGCTCAAGAAGACGTCTCTACATCTCACGGCAGATGTCCCAGAGGCAGACCTTTCTGAAGTGGACTCCAAGCTTGTATATAATCTGATGCCCTTTCAGAGAACTGGAGTCAAGTAGGTTTTGATCTTCCTCTCGCTCTCACTCAGATTTCATCCCTCAACATGGACTATTCTGATGCTTCCTCTTTTATGAACATTCATCTTCCACAGATATCTAAAAGAATCTCAGCATTAGATAGCCAGGTGTACAGCTACAAAGCCTTATTGTAACCACTGATTTCAGATTCCATGAGTTCACTCTGGATTGCAGAAACTCAATTCAAGCGAGCCTAAGAAAAGAGGAGGGCTGGATGTGGTGGCTCATGCCTGGAATCCTAACACTTTGGGAGACCAAGGCAGGAGGTTTGCTTGAGCCCACAAGTTTGAGACCAGCCTGGGCAACATGGCGAGACCTTGTCTCTACAAAAATTTTTTAAAAATTAGCCGGGCATGGTAGCCTACGCCTGTAGTCCCAGCTGCTCAGGAGGCTGAGATGGGAGAATCGCCTGAGCCCAGGAGGTCAAGGCTGCAGCGTGCTGTGATTCTGCCATTGCCCTGCAGCCTGACCGACAGAGTGAGACTCCAACTCAAAAATAAATAATATTTCTCAATGCATGTAGTAGGAAATGTGGTGTCTCTGTTTCTCTCTCAGCCCTTCTTTCTCAGTTTGCTCTGTTCTCAGCCCTGTGCTGAAGTGTGGCAGCCAGGGCGTCCAGGGGCTTCCAGCTTGCAGTCCATCAGCTCATTAGCAACCCACACAAGCACCTTTTCCCTGATGCAGTGGCTTAAACCTGATGACTGACGCTGGAACCAATCACTGAGGCCTTGGAGTCTTGAAGTCTAGTTAGGCTGGGTGATTGGCCCATCCCTGGTGCCAGAGGGTGTGGCCTGCTCCCCCTAAATACTTGAACTGAGAGTGGAAGGGTACGGTTTCCCAAAAAAAGTCAGGGTGCTCTTTTAGAGAAAGATAAAAGATAAACTTGTGTCCTGACCTGTCCCTTTTCTATGGTTTCTTAGAAGAAACAAACTGCCAGGTTTGAACTTACCTCCTCTTGAAAATATAGTAGTTCAAGAAGAGGAAAGAGGAAGTCCTCATCGTGTGTCCAGAAATACTAAGAGTTAGAACTGTTCTTAGGTGCACGATTGGAGACAAAGTCCTGTGCAAGGGAAGGAACCTCAGTTGTTAATGAAACTGACAAACTGGGACAGCCTGCCTTCCCTGCTGCTTGATAGTGGTAATTTGGAGGGAGCTTGCCCACGTGTCTGCCAGGGTGTGGGCTCTGTGCGCCATTTGGGCACAGTGCACTTGACCACATCCCCAGGGCCCCAGCCCTGCCCACCACTCTGCTTCCTTTCCCTTCCGTCCCTCTCAGATAGCACACTTTGCAAAGCTTCATCTTGCTTTGCCATCTCAATCCTTCGTCGGCTGAGATGTCCTTCGGGCCTTGTTTTAACCAGGCTCAGGGTGGCTGTTCCCTTGGATCCTTCTTCCTCTGCCTGCTTTAGAGCTGAAGTATAGTTCGCCCAGCCCCAGCCCCCAAGCAGCCTCATCTTCAGCATCCAAGTTCTTCCTGGCTCCGTTAGTGATCTTTGGGCCCACGTGGTGAGTGCTGGCCTTCCCGGTTAAACCCATTACCCTTGGGAGAGGCTCAGTGTGTGAGGCAGCCCCGGCGGATATCTTTCTCCCTCTGTGGCTGCAAGCTGCTGCTAATGGTACTTATAATCTTTCTTCAAAACTTTTTAATTAGGCCAGGTGTGGCAGTTCATGCCTACAATCTCACCACTTTGGGAGGCCAAGATCAGAGGATTGCTTGAGGCCAGCGGTTCCAGACCAGCCTAAGCAACATTGTGAAACCCTGTCTCCACAAAAAATAAAAACTTAGCCAGGCGTGGTGGCATGTCCCTGTAGTCAGCTACTCAGGAGGATTGCTTGAGCCTAGGAGTCAGAGGCTGCAGTGAGCTGTGATCACATCACTTTACTCCAGCCTGGGTGACAGAGCAAGACTCTGACTCTAAAAATAATAACAATAATAATAACTTTTTTAAATGCCCGGATTTCGAATTAAATACAGATTTTAACTTTTATATTCTCAAGAGGTGAGGGTTTGGCATTGGGGAAGTAGGGCTATCAATTCCATGCTTTTTCTTTTTTTATGCAAGAACTGCAGTTGCACACACCCTGAAATTTACAGAGTTCCCTGGCCTTGCTTGCCTTGACTGGGGTGTGCAAAGTCTCTTAGAAATAGCAGCATCCTCTAATACCCAAGTGGTCCTTTACAACTGGTAAGTGAATTGAGGTACAGAAAGACAGTCATTTGCCTAAAGTGACTCAGCTTGCAAAAGTGTAATTGTAGCTTAAATCCGTGTTTTCTGATTGATGGATTAATTTTTGAGTATAGCATTTCTTTCTATTATCCCAAACTACTCTTTAGAGAATAACAGTTGTGTTGTTGTTCCTCTGTTATTCAGGCTTTTTCTTTTCTTTTCTTTTCTTTTGAATTGGAGTCTCACTCTGTCACCCAGGCTGGAGTGCAGTGGCATGTTCACAGCCACTGTAGCCTTGACCTGCTGGGCTCAGGCGATCCTTCCACTTCAGACTTCCAAGTAGCTGGAACTAAAGCATGTACCACCATGCCCAGTTAATTTTTGGATTTATGGTAGAGATGAGGTCTCACCAAGTTGCCCAGGCTGGTCTCAAACCCGTGGACTCAGGCAGTCCTCTCACCTCAGACTCCCAAAGTGCTGGGATTATAGGTGTGAGCCACCTTGCCCTGCCTAGGCTTTTTCTTTTCTTTGTTGCCATTTTTTGGCCACTTTCCTTCTTAATTAGGCTACCTCAAGCCTGGAAAAAAGGAGAGAATGTGAATTTCAGGTGGTCCATTCTGCTTTGAGGGTGACCAGATGGACCAAACTTCTGGAACTTGTAGATGGTAAAGCTGAGGAGGCTGAAACAAAAGACATTCAGAGGGCGTGGAGCTCTCCATGGCTTTAGTTGCTTAGGTACTGGTACTGTCTGTCCTCCTCGGCCACCAATTTTATAAATCAGAAAGTGAGGCCCAAAAAAATCTTTTCACACCTGCCCTCCCCATCTGTCTGTGTTGTGGGTTGATCCCAGAATGGCCCAAAAGATTTCACAGAGGTGGGTGTGCAGAGAGGAGGCTGGGCCTGTTCAGGGGAGGTGAAGTGGTCCCGTGCAGGGCTCTCCATTTCTCCCCGGTGGCAGCCCAGGTGGGGCTGCGGGAATGGCTGCCCCCTCTCTCCTGGGTGACTCACTATGACTTTGGGGAGGACAGGAGAGCTGTACCATGACACCATTTGTGCCCACGCACTACTGATCTCTGGTTGCCCAGAGATCTGCTCGGTTTCCATCTCTGGAAACAATGTTCCAGACCATTTAGAAAGGCGGTGTGCAGCCTAGAGTTCTTGAGGATTCTGGCGTAAGGGCTTTGGAATCCTGGAAGCTGCAGGTTGGTGCTCCCTCTTGGACAGACACCCTTGCTCTCTCCTTTCCTCTGTGGGTCCTCGTCTTCTCCATGTTTTCTGTCTTGGCCAGCTCCCTCCTTGGTCTTCATGCATCCCGAATGCTTCCTGATCTTCAGAAAGCGTATCTTCCCCTCATAGCTCTTCTCATTCTTTCCTTTCTGGTGGGCTCTGGAGTGCGCCAGTGTGCCCTCCTCAGCCCTGGTCGTGAGCTCACACCATGCTTCTCGGCATGTGTCCCCTGGCCTCGCTTGCCTTGGGTGAGGCGAGGCCTCTTACTGGAAGCTTCCTTCCTTGCCCTCCATGACCTAACTATCTTCTGGATCATCTCCCTACCTTTTGACCACCGTTCCACGTTTTCCCCTTTTTGAATTTCTCTCTCTGTGTTTTTAAATTCTGCCCCCTCATTGACTCCAGCTCCTTCCTTTTGGGGGAGCAAGTTCCATGGCGAGAGGGCCGGTGCTGGCTTGTGCAGTAGCCTGCGCCAGAGCAGGGCTTCCCTGCTGTACGCGAGGGCGGGCCAGCTGCCCTGGGGAAACGTGCCATCCTCACCTTGTCTGCTTTCAGTTTTGCCATAGCCAAAGAAGGCCGCCTGCTTCTTGCTGATGACATGGGCCTGGGGAAGACCATTCAAGCCATCTGTATAGCAGCCTTTTACCGGAAGGAGTGGCCGCTCCTGGTGGTGGTTCCGTCCTCTGTGCGCTTCACCTGGGAGCAGGTTAATCCTCTTTGCGTTGTGATTTTAACAGAGAAAGTTTTCTTTGGTGCCAGAGTCAGAACATAATGGTTTGGAGACAGGGCCTGGGGCTCTTTAAGGCTCCTCTCTTAGGCGAAGGCAGGGGAAGAGAGGAGGAGGTGGCTCCTGAGGACAAGCTGGTGGCATTCTGAGTTAGAGTCAGCTTGTGCCTTTGGGGAAGAAAGCCAAGTGGTTGTTCCTGGCTTAGAGACTTATGTCTGTCCGCAGACAAATCCAGGCCCTCTCTGCCCCTGCTAGTAAGATCTTTCATTTCTACCACACTTGATTTTCTTTTCTTTTCTTTTCTTTTCTTTTTAGTTGAATTCTCTCTCACTGTATCGCCCAGGCTGGAGTGCAGTGGCATGCTCATGGCCACTGCAGCCTTGACCTGCTGGGCTCAGGTGATCCTCCCGCCTCAGCCTCCCAAGTAGCTGGAACTACAGGCATGTGCCACCACACCCAGCTAATTTTTTGATTTATTGTAGAGACGAGGTCTTGCCAAGTTGCCCAGGCTGGTCTCGAACCCATGGGCTCAGGCAGTCTTCTCACCTCTGCCTCCCAGTGGCTCAAGCCTGTTGGGATTACAGGCTTGAGCCACTGTACTTGGCTTACACTTAATTTTCAAACTATTTTTACGCCCTTAATTTTTCTTAATCTCGTAACAGCCATGCAGTAGACATAATAGACAGTAACCCCGTTTATAGATGGGAGAACAGAATCCCTAAGTGAGTCAGCTCTAAGCTCTCTGCTAACGACAAGCCGCATATGGGATCTTGAAGTCCCACCTCCTCACTTCCTGCCCAGTTTTTGCATCTGCAGAGGGTGATGTGAATAGGATGCTCGCTGTCTGCCTGATAACTTTATGACTGAAGATCCTGACATGAACACTGCATTGTCACTTTTGAGCTTTATCTAATGCAAATCCAGGAATCACAGTCGTCTTGGGAAGGCATAAAAATCCTTGTGAGCAAACTCAGTGCAGAAGGAAGACCTGGTCTATGCTCCATTGTGTTTTCTAGCTTTATGCTGCTGATGTGGGCCTTTGACTTCCTCACAGCCTGGCTTCTTCCCGGGGCCTCCACAAGCTGCTTGTGGAGAAGAGGCAGCACCTCCTGCTGCCCATCAGCCTGATGCCTAGATGTGCCATTCAACCAAAAAGAAGGCAAAACCTGAAACATGGGTATCAAAACAATGCCTCAAGCCAGGCATGGTGGCTCACGCCTGTAATCCCAGCACTTTGGGAGGCAGAGGAGGGAAGATTGCTTGAGCCCAGGTGTTCGAGATGAGCCTGGACAACATAGCAAGACCTCGTCTCATAAAAAAGCAAAAAATTAGCCAGGTGTGGTGGCATGCAGCCATAAATTCCAGCTACTCAGGAGGCTGAGGTAGAAGGATCCTCTGAGTCCAGGAGGTTGAGGCTGTGGTTAGCCGTGATCATGCTACAATACTCCAGCCTGGGCGACTAGAGTGAGACCCCAACTCAGAAAACAAAATGCCTCATTCTCTTCCTGTCCTTGTGATCTGAACACTGCCAGTGCCCATAGAAAGTAATCATTCAATACATATTTTGTTAGATTTCCATACTACTCTCAGAAATTCCAGGAAAGAGTTAGGTAGTCAGCAGGCCCAAGGCTAAGGAAGAGGCCAGCATTCCCTGTATCATCAGAACAGTATCGGCCCAGGCAGGGAGGCAGGGGACCCAGATTTCTGGGTGCCACATTGGCAACCTTCCACTGGCTCCAGGTACAGGGTTTGGCGAGAAATGCCAAGGTTGCTGGAGAGAGATTGGTAGAAATATTGACAGAAATCTTTTCATTGTCATCAGTAAACAGGATTTGTCTTCAGGTTACTACACTCTGCTAAGTCCTTTATAAAATTCTTCTTAAAGAGTGTCACATTCTTGGTCAGGTTTGGTGGCTCACACCTGGAATCCCAGCACTTTGGGAGACTGAGGTGAGAGGATCACTTGAGGCCAGGAGTTGGAGACCAGCAAGACAGTGTCTCTAAAAATAAAAAATAAAAAAATTAGCAGGATGTGGTGGTGCACGCCTGTTGTTCCAGCTACTCAGGAGTCTGAGGTGGAAGGATTGCCTGGGTCCTGGAGGTCAAGGCTGAAGTGAGCAGTGATTGTACCACTGTAGTCCAGCCTGGACAACAGAGTGAGATCCTGATACACACACACACACACACACACACACACACACACACACACAGTGTCACATTCTTTCCTGCAGACACTTGCCATCTAGTGAGAGATCATAGTGGTGAAACCCACAGACACCATGAACTGCTGACAGAGGAAGTATCCTGTCAGTGAAGGGGAGTGGTTGGTGAACCGAAGGTGGAGGGGATGACTGTTCATGGCCGGATGCAGGAAGGTATGGTGGGAGAAAGACAGAGCTTGTTTTTCAGGGAACATTGAAGTTAGTCTGCATTGAGAGAATGCTATGGGTGCGTTGGCTGGGGTCACGACTGACAGCTGCTGTGCTGGGTGGTTGTCACTGTAATTTTGTTCTCTCCTGTGGTCCACAGGCCTTCCTTCGGTGGCTGCCATCTCTGAACCCAAATAGCATCAATGTTGTGGTGACCGGGAAGGACCGCCTGACAGCTGGCTTGGTCAACATTGTCAGCTTTGACCTTCTTAGCAAGTTGGAAAAACAACTCAAAACCCCTTTTAAAGTTGTCATCATTGTAAGTGACTTGGCAAGGTCTCTAAGTACTTTCTCTCTCTGGAAACTTTCCTCTTAAAAGCTCTGAGAACTTTCATATCTATAATCTCGTTGAGTCTCAGTTTCTAGGAGAAATCACAGCACTGTCTTTATTTTGTGAGGAACTGGCATTTCAGCCTCAAATAAACCATTCTCAGCCCTGGCTACATATTAGAATCTCCTGGGAGCTTTTAAAAAATGTGATTGAGTAGGACTTTGCTGGGGGTTTCGTGCTGACTCTCCCCCTGCGTGAGTCATGGATGGAGGTCATCATGTGGACCCCAGACCTCCTGAGGCTCCAGGGACTACCACCTGGCTGGTAAGGGCTGTGCCTGTGTCTGGTGCCGTCTTGTCAGAATGGCTCAGACATAAATTCAATTAAGTTTTCTTCCAGCCAATATGAAGATACCTTCCCCCAACCCCCTAAAAGCGCTTTTTTAGAGAAAAGCTTGTTTTTTTAGAGAAGGCTTTACTGGAGTCTTGTTTCCAGATTTGACAGCACATCTTTCAGTTACAGACTTTCCTCCTTTTAATGTCTTACATACTTTCTAAGGAAAGTCTAAACTGAATTGGTAACTGGCCATCTCTGTCAGTACTGAGTGTGTCAACACAGCTGACAAAAGTATTATGGGAGCTTAAAGAAGAGAAGATACGATTTACTGACCTCAGGGGATCTTATACTGTGTCGTGGACATGAGAGCCACACTGTGTTCTTAGCATAAGCAAATGTAAGTGTTTATTGTTTTTTAAAGTTCTCCAGGTAGCAAGTCTTTGGGGGAGACTTTTTTTGGTTTGGCACGAATTCAGGCGTGGCTTTAAAAAGATGTCAGCACACATGTGAAATGAGAACATTAAAAGAAGTTTCCTAGTATGATCGTGAAGGCTCTAGAGTGTGTGGGAAGAATAACGTCTTCATTTCTTGAGTGTGACCTCATATTAGGTACTTATGTATGTAATCACTGATCTTCCCAGCGGCCCCCAGGCAGGTGTTATTCTCTATCCTCGTGAATTATCCATTTCACAGCTGATGAAACTGACAGTGAGAGCGGGAACATAATTTGCCTATGGGCATGAAGCTAGCAAGTTGTAGTTATTGATTAAAGCTGGGCTGCATCTGCCTTCAGAATTCACGTTTTTCTGTTTCTGGGCCCATCACTTAACCTGCCATGTGTTTTTTGACAAGCCACTTACCCTCCGAGTTGGTTTGTTCTTCAGTTCAGAAGAGCCCTATCCTCTTATATTCAAAGAAACATAGGAAGGAATAGTGATGGCTCTGAGGTGTCACACTTCTCAGAAGAGGCTTCAATTTTAAGTCATTCTTTATGATTTACTCCAATGTTGGCACATTTTTACTTATTGGTTGAAAGGGTACATTCCTTTTCATATTCTCTTTCTGTATTTTTTTTTCTCTAGAAACACCTTTTTCTTGACTACCATGAGGACTCACCATCAGTTAGACATATGACTATACCACTCTGGGTGTCTGGGGCTAGAGACTGTCCTGACATTGTGGGGGTTATCTCCCACTTCCCTCTTTTGTGCTCCTGAGGACCTTCTGGTGTATCCTAGCTGAGGATTTCTTATAGATCATCTTCAGAGCCAGAGCTGGGGTCTTTCTTCTAGTATCCCAGTTACAGAGTAGCTGATACCTTGGAGCACTTACTAAGTGGTGGGACTGCTCTAAGGACTTTACAAGTGTTAACCCATGAAAGACTAATAGCAACCCAATACGTCAGGAACTGTTATACTTATTTTACAGATGGAGAAACTGGTACTATAAAAAGATTAAGTCACTGCTCAGAGTTACATAGCAAGGAATCTGTGTGCTAAACTAGAAAATTTCCCCCCAAATGCTAATAGTGTATTCATTACTCTTTTGGTTTTAGAAAATATTTAGAAAATTCTGTATTTGCTTATATATAGAATGCAGAGCTATAAAAAACCAGACTGCATTCTAAACATAACAGTTCCTTGGGGACAGGATTCATAGTCTCTTCCCATTTCTCAGCTCCCCCCCCCAGTCTTTTGCTTACCCCCACCTCAGGGACAATACTGATAGCATGCTCTGATCAGTTGTGGGGTGTCTGGCATCCTTCCTGCATGGCAGGGGCTCACCCCCAGGGCTTGGCATGGATACAGGACCCATCGTGGTCTTCAGCACACTTACTATGTGCCACACAGATGCAGTGTCTTTTAGAAAGCAGCAAAAACCACCAGTGGTTGTTCATTTGAGCAGACTTGGTGGTGGGCGGGACAGGGTTCGCTGACCCTACTTTATAGGAGGAAAACTCTCCAGAGAGAGGAAGCAACTTGTCCAAAACCGGAACCTCACTGCTTGCCTGGACCCACTGCTCTGTCTCCCCACATGAGGAGGCACTGAGGGAGGTATCCAGGGTGCACACATCGTGCCAGCGTCAAACTCAAGCTGGGCTCCATCTCTGCCCACTCAGGAGTGGGCCGTGTTCACTTCTATGACTGTTTCGTTTCAGGATGAATCTCACTTCCTCAAAAACAGCAGGACTGCCCGCTGTCGAGCAGCTATGCCCGTCCTAAAGGTGAGCAATTCTGAGAACAGATTTCAAGCCTGAGCCTGCTCTGTGTTGAGATCCCACAGTGTTTTGCTCAGGCTTGCAAGGGGCCCTGGTGGATGAAGGGCTGCGAGTCCGGGCCCGTGAGCCATGGACGTGACTTCGTGTTGCCTTAGGGCGTCTCTTTTTTTTTTTTTGAGTCGGAGTCTCACTCTGTCGCCCAGACTGGAGTACAGTGGCCACTCCCGGCCACTGCAGCCTTGACCTGCTGGGCTCTGGCGATCCTTCTGCCTCAGCCTTCCAAGTAGCCGGAATTACAGGCATGTGCTACCATGCCCGGCTGATTTTTTGATTTATTGTAGAGATGAGGTCTCGCTGCCCAGGCGGGTCTCGAACCTGCGGGCAGGGCATCTCTCTTTAGGACTTTGGTGCCAATTTCGTTTTTCTTCTTAATATCCTGTGAAGGAACTAGCAGTCTGTACTGTGTTCTTCATCTCTTACAGATGAGGGAGATGAGTTAAATAAAAAAATACAGGGAGATGAGTTAAATAAATATAGGCCCAGGCTAGAGCCAGCAGGTGTCAGCAAGCTGTGCTGGCAAAGCTGAGAAGGGCTCGTAAGTCAATGCCCTTTACTATGGTTACCTTAAGCCTTCCAGGTCAGCGGGAGGGCCAGCCAAGTTTAGACAAGTGGTCTAAACTTGTCCCTGAGAACTTTGTGGGTCCAGGCTTCAAGAGCAAGCAGGCATGTTGTAGGTTCGAGTCTTTACCTAAATGTGTTCTGACATGCAACCTAGACTCCATGTCTTAGGCATTGTCTTCTTTGTCTGTGTTTCATGTCCTGGTCCCCCATCCCAGACAGAGGCAAGGCCTCCAAATTTCCTTTCATCTTTTTCTTTTTCTTTTTTGAGTCGGGGTCTCACTGGCTGGAGTACAGTGGCACATTTATGGCTTACTGCCGTCTTAACCTCCTGGGCTAAGCAGTCTTCCTGCCTCAGCCTCCTGAGTAACTGGGTCTACAGGCTCACACCACCACTCCTGGCTAATTTTAAAAATTTTTTGTAGAGGTGAGGTCTCACTATGTTGCTCAAGCTGGTCTTAAACTCCTAGGGTCAAGAATCATCCCAGCTTGGCCTCCCAAAGTGCTGGGATTATAGGCATGAGCCACTGCACCTGACCTCTTCCATTATTTTAGAGTGAGTTTTTTCCTTATATTTTTTTGGAGGGGGAAGTACAATGAGAAAAGTAGCTTTTTCTCTTATAGCAAGTTAGAAATTTCTCACAGATGACTTTGGAGGAATCCACTTTGCTTTGTGAGCAAACAAAAGTATGTGTTTATCTTGTGCTCTATTAAAGCAGCTTTTGTGTTGCACCAGTATATTAAAGCTGTAGTCTTTTTTTTTTTTTTTTTGAGTTGGAGTCTCACTCCGTCACCCAGTATGGAGGGCAGTGGCACGCTCATGCCACCCTGGCGTCTACCTGTTGGGCTCCAGTGTTCCTTCTGCCTCAGCCTTCCAAGTAGCCAGAACTACAGGCACATGCTACCATGCTTGGTTAATTTTTGATTTATTGTAGAGACAAGGTCTTGCCAAGTTATCTGGGCTGGTCTCGAACTCACAGGCTCAGGCAATCCATTTACCTCGGCCTCCCAAAGTGCTGGGATTACAGACTGAGCCACCAAGCCCGGCCAAAGCTGTGGTCTTTATTGCTTAAAATAAGCTTTAACTTTTACCTAAACTAGAGAAAACAAATATTCTAAATGTTGATGAAGCATAGCATTTGAAAATTAACTTAGCCAGGCTCTGTGGCTCAGCCTGTAATCCCGCACTTTGGGAGGCTGAGGTGAGTGGATTGCCTGAGTCCGCGAGTCGAGATCCACCTGGGCAACTTGGTGAGACCTCATCTCTATAATAAAAATCAAAAAATTAGCCAGGCGTAGTAGCGTGCGCCTATAGTTCCAGCTACTTGGAAGGCTGAGGCGGAAGGATTGCCGGAGCCCAGCAGGTCAAGGCTGCGGTGGCCGGGAGCAGCCACTGCACTCCAGTCTGGGTGACAGAGTGAGACTCCAACTCAAAAAAATTAAAAAGAAAATTAACTTAACTTTGAGTAACCCCTTCGGGTCCCCTCCCGCTGTGGGAGCTTTTCTGTCTTTTCAATAAATCCTGCTATAAAAAAAAAAAAAGGAAAAAAAAACTTAATTTGACCAACTCCCCGTAAAACACACACAAAGTATCTGATGATTTCACATTTTTATTTTTATGGAAATAACAGGCAATATGACACATCTTCCAAGGCAGGGTTATGTCATATGCTCCAAACCTAGAAATAAGTCCTTTACTTAAAAGAACTTTTGATCCTCTGCTGATATTACCTATAAATATCTATATGTCAATAGTCATTTATAGACACACTTGTTTTCCTAGGATAATGGTCCTTCTTTTGGGAAGTTTTAATATGTTTTCCTTAGAAAAATGTTAATAGACTTTAGTACTGTAGTTTTAATATTATGGTCATAACTAAAATTAAGTCTGTATCCCTGATCATTTAGACAAAAGAAATTGTACAATAGATAGATTATATCATTAAAGTTGCGATATGAGAGCTTCTTGGCAATCACCTTGTTAATGCAGTGGTTGCCAGGTTGAGTGTGCTGAACCACAATATTGGTTTCTGACATAAGTGCTCCTGAGCCAGACCTTTGGAAGCAGCATATGCATCGTTAATATCTTGGGTATATTTCAGAGTGACATGTTTAAAATAAATCTTTAAGCTGTGCTCGGTGGCTCGGCCTGTAATCCCACGCTTTGGGAGACTGAGGTGAGTGGATTGCCTGACTCCGCGGGTTCAAGACCCGCCTGGGCAACTTGGCGAGACCTCATCTCTACAATAAATCAAAAATTAGCCGGGCATGGTAGTGTGCGCCTGTAGTTCCAGCTACTTGGAAGGCTGAGGCAGAAGGATCACCGGAGCCCAGCAGGTTGAGGCTGCAGTGGCCGGTAGTGGCTACTGCACTCCAGTCTGGGTGACAGAGTGAGAATCCAACTCAAAAATAAATAAATAAATAAATAAATCTTTAAACTTCTAACTAATATAACTGCATTTGCTACAGAACTTGGATGAATTAATATCTTAAAATAGAACTCATTAACATGGCCTGCATTATGATGGCAGCCATTCTCTTCTGCATCGTTGACTTCATCTAATGCTGGACTGTGGCAGGACTGGAGTGAAGAAGTCAGGAGTGGGGGCATTCTGAGCTATCCTGTTACTCGAACCTTTCATCTCTCTCTGCTGTATTTTCATGTAGATTGGAAGGCTGCTATATTTTCTCAGCCTTGGCATTATTGACATTTTAGGCTGTCCTGTGCACTGTGGGATGTTTAGCAGCATCCCTGGCCTCTACCCACTAGATGCTAGCAGTACCCCCAGATATGACAACTAAAATTATTTCTAGATGTTGCCAAATGTCACCTGAGGGAGGACAAATCACTTTCCACCTGCCACTCACTCCCCTAACCCTATTGAGTACCATTGACTTAAATAGTCAAATGAGTCTAAATAGTTTTGGGATAAGAAGATAGTTGGGAGAAAGTAATGTATGTCTTTGAAAGTTACAGAAAGATCTAATATCTCTTGATTGTTCCTCTAATGTGTACATCTCTTAGAACAATGTTCTGATAATTAATACCACAAGATATTTGTAGCAAATGTGCTTAATGAGGTAATTAGATTAAATAGTGCAATCTGTTAAACAGCAGAATCAGACATGTCCAGAAAATGTGAAATTTGTAGATTACAACAACAGTCAGCAGATAAAGGACATGTCAGGTTGTGAGAAACTGGTATCATTGTCCTGTGGGAAATGTGACATCTTTCTTCCCCCATAGCACTAATTTCCCTGGATTATTAATCCTAAACAAGGTGGTTCTATTTTTATATATAAATGTATGAAAGTAAGCAAGTCAGAAAGCTATAAAGAACAAAGTTAAAATCACTTTAATCCCTCCAAGAGAAAAAAACACTATTAGTTGCTCGGTTATCTTTCCAAGTAAGTTGTTAAGCGAGATCATCGTCCTACAACTTAACCCTTGGTGTCAGACACGAGTTTGTTTCCCTTTCTCTGCTTTTATAAATCTGCAGGTGAACATCTTCCATGTAGACATACCTTGGCATACTTCTCCTTATTAGGGCAAATTCCTACCATCAGAATTTCTGGGTCGGTTTTTATCTGACCATGGAGGCTTCTGAAGTCCAGTTGGGCCAAGTGCAGGCATCTTCCCTCCCGTCAGTGTGCTCTTCTCCACGACTCCAACCCTGAAGGTTATCAGCGCTCTTTTGAACAATGAGATGTGTTTGGGTTTTTTGTTTAGTTGTATCTTGTTTACATTGATTTTTATTGTTAAGCTAGCCTGATAACAAAATTAAATTTTGTTAAAAAGTAAAGGCCCCCACTATCCTTTCCTGATAATTAGTGTCTCTCTTTTTCTGTGAGTAGAGTACTTTTTAATATCTCTGTTGGTTGGCTAGATGAGAGATAGTGTCTAAACTATATGAGCTTTTCCTTAAAGTAGTTTAGATAGCTGATAAATTTAAATGGCACAAAAGGATGGACCGTGAAAAATAAGTCTTTCTCCCACCTCTGGAACCCCAGTCCCTCAGTCTCTTCCCACAAAGGTAGCCAATAGTTACCAGATTTTCAGATTTATCTCCATAAAATAATCCACACCTAAGTAAGTACAAATATGTAAGTTTCCTTTCTCTCTCCATAGAGTATTCTACAACCACTGTTTCATACTTACCTTTTTTTCCCTTAATAATGTGTCTTGAAAATCATTCCACATCATTCCAGATGACTCCACCTCATTCTTGCAAATAATATTGTATTGTGTAAATCTATCATAATACATATCATCTGTTCCCTTTTGATGGATTTGTAACCAAATTGCAGCTATTACATACAGTACTGCGGTAACCATCTTTTCATAGGACGTAGATGTGGGGAGTAGAAAACCAATCCCTCTGTATCTA